GTTTATTAACCTTGAATAGACAAAAACTACAACAATGTTTATTAACCTTGAATAGACAAAAACACAGTAATACACAAGAACAACAGTGTTTATTAACCTTAAATAGACAAAACACAGTAATACATAAGGACAACAGTGTTTATTAACCTTAAATAGACAAAACACAGTAATACATAAGGACAACAGTGTTTATTAACCTTGAATAGACAAAAACACAGTAATACATAAGGACAACAATGTTTATTAACCTTGAATAGACAAAAACACAGTAATACACAAGGACAACAGTGTTTATTAACCTTGAATAGACAAAATCGTAACGTGTTACTTGTCTGGTTTCGCTGCTTTTCTCACGATCAACAGCTAAAGAGTAATGTACAACTTGACATTCAAGGCAGAACTACTTGGAAATTATCTTGGTTTCTTTTTCAAGGTTCAAAACGTTACGCCACTGAGCATGCTCCACATTGTGGGCGTGTTATAAAAGTGACAATCAAACCCATTACTTAATTGAATGAGCCAAACGAAGGCCTTGTGGCGGCGGATGCTGCTGGCTGCCGTCTCTCTCTCTCTCTCTGATCAGTAACGACGATTTATTCCTAAATCCTAGGGGTTATTGTACCGGTCGTTTAGCTCACGTGGACAGAAAATATCACTCAGGTTGAAAATTCCTTTTCTTGCCTAAACATGTGTGTATTTTTAAACACAATCATACTGACTATATGATATGGGTTGAAACTTTGGTTTTTAATTACCTCTGTGCTAAATTCAAAGGTTAAACCTGCCTTAATCATATTAACATGCTATTTATAAACTTTCACTGGAAGCTTTTCAAAATTAATCAAATAAATCAAGAGACAAAGCAAATTAGAAAGTTACAAGTTTGTGGATGTGCTTCAAATTGCTACGAATATTGTAAAAAACTCAAAGGTCATATAGAAGGTCATAAGGTTACGTCGAGGTCATTTATTACGCGAGCAATGCTCTCTCAAATCGTTTTAATTTTCTTAATGGTGATGCTCTTCGAAGTTCGTGCAGAGCACGTGAGTTAATTGGTGTGAATACATTATATTTACCTCTACAGTTGATCGCTCAACATATCTTGTGACGATGCGACAGGAACGAAAACGCTGTATGCAAAACAGATCGCACTAGAGCACATAATGTATTTTAAATATCTGGATCTCTCTCGGGGCTTTTTGATTAAAATCTGATCTTATCATGTACGAGATGAAGCGGTGGAAAGACAACTTAGTAATTATAAAAAGTCGAATTTGTCTGATCGTCGACACTAAACGTGTATTTTTTTTTTTTTCTAGCTGGAATAAAACTCGCAATATTTTATATGCTCAGTTGGTTTTATTATTATGTTTGTAAGAATGAGAAGTAAGGCAACCAATGAGAAGTATGATCGATTATTTAACATGTTCAAATAATTTCCAGGAACTTCGATGTTACAAGAGAACGAACAATAATTACACATTTATATATATATAAATAAATCACGTGACTTTCTAACTCTGCACATATTAGCCAATAGCTGCAACAGAATATACAATAACATAGATCGAGTCCACCCTGAAGTTTGTCCTGAATTCCATATATTACAAAATACGGCTTGGGTTAGTCTAAGTTCTAAAACACAAGGGATACGTTGAGTGAACTCTGAAGTTTGTCCTGAATTCCATATATTACAAAATACGGCTTGGGTTAGCCTAAGTTCTAAAACACAAGGGATACGTTGAGTGAACTCTGAAGTTTGTCCTGAATTCCATATATTACAAAATACGGCTTGGGTTAACCTAAGTTCTAAAACACAAGGGATACGTTGAGTGAACTCTGAAGTTTGTCCTGAATTCCATATATTACAAAATACGGCTTGGGTTAGCCTAAGTTCTAAAACACAAGGGATACGTTGAGTGAACTCTGAAGTTGATGCATATTTCTTATATTATGGAGTACAGATTGAAGAAGTTCAGAAGAAACCATTTGAAGATATAACTTCCCCCATGTTTGAGGATTAAGATTGTTCTCGTATTATTCACAAGCCAGGATAATTAAATCCTAATGTCTGAAATTTAAAACAATGCTTACAAGAACCACCTGATATCTCATACATAATCAAAATCATTGATATGATGGTCCTTTATGAACATGATGGTCATTCATGAACATGGTGGTACTTTATGAACATGATGGTCCTTTATGAACACGGTGGTCCTTTATGAACATGAGGGTCCTTTATGAACATGATGGTCATTCATGAACATGGTGGTACTTTATGAACACGGTGGTCCTTTATGAACATGAGGGTCCTTTATGAACATGATGGTCATTCATGAACATGATGGTACTTTATGAACACGGTGGTCCTTTATGAACACGGTGGTCCTTTATGAACATGAGGGTCCTTTATGAACATGATGGTCATTCATGAACATGATGGTACTTTATGAACATGATGGTCCTTTATGAACATGATGGTCCTTTATGAACATGATGGTCCTTTATGAACATGATGGTCCTTTATGAACATGATGGTCCTTTATGAACATGATGGTCCTTTATTAACATGATGGTCCTTTATGAACATGATGGTCCTTTATGAACATGATGGTCCTTTA